TCTTAAGTGTATGTTTACGAAACTGGAAGCGTTTTCTAGGTTTTTTTAGTTCATAATTTGTTTGGTTCAGTTTGTTTTCATGTTTTGTGTTAATTTTTTGTGGGGATTTTAAGCGAATGTTGAAAGTTTATTCGTCTGGAATCGGTACAACTCCAATGGAATATAAGTTAATCTTTTAGATTTTGTATGGGTTATTTTGATTTCAACATATTTTATATTTTCTGTGTTCCATATATGATATGTTCCTTCAGAATGTTAGTAGATTTGAAAATGTTAATTCTTTTAGCATGTTAATGTAATGTTGTAAAAATGTTGTTTATCATGCAGTGAATGCAGATACAATAGTAATTTCTAGTACGAGTGTGAAAAAGAAGAAACGTCAACACTCATCAAGATCAACCCCAGAGAAGAGAAAACCTCGTCCCTTAAATGTGTTAATACGAGAAAGGGTACTCAGGTCAACGACAAAATGTGAGAAAAGACCTATGATGTTAGAGGAAAAAAAGGTAGAACGAGACGGTAAAAGACAATGTAAAGGAAAACATGAACAAGTTGTGGTAGAAGGGATGAAAAAAATGAAAGTAATAAGAAGGTAAGCATGGTGAATGAATTTATATATTAACACATTCATATTGTTCAAACCAAAAAAAAAAACGAATTTATATATTAATCATATATACCTGTTCTTGATTATTGGGAGGAGGCTCCATTTGAACCTTGAAATCGTTGTTTGATTGTTGCTGAAAAAAATGATATTAACACCTTTTGTATCGAATTTGTTAATTATATAAACAAAAAACTGCAATTCATGTGTACCTGATCTTGATTATTGTGAGGATGTTGCATTTCAATCTCAAAAAAAAAAAAAACGAAGGAGAATGATGTACAGATGAAATCAGACGTGCACAGATGATGTATGGGTTAAAGGATAATGAATTCAATTTAAAATTATATCTTATTTATTTAATTAGCCTAAAAACATAGGATTTGATTAGGAATAATATCTTATTTATTTAATGAATTATTTTTGAATTATTTGGTTTAGAATGATCCCTACATCCACAGCAATACATGTGGATCCACATTTGAACCTCTCTCTGTCTCTCTTTCTCTCTCTCTCTCTCTCTATATATATATATATATATAATATATATATATATATATATATATAGAGAGAGAGAGAGAGAGAGAGAGTTAGGTTCATATATAAACATCATATATTGTGTGAATGTATGGTTAATTCTGGACCAATCATTTGATAAGAGCAAATTTGGAAGTTTACGATTAAATAACTTACTATCCAAATTTAAAAAATCGATATATATGGAGGTAATCAAAATCAATTTTTAATTGTTGAATATTAACCAAATTAAAAGCCTATATATGGAAATGAATGAATTAAATAAGATCTGCTTTTCAAAAATTTATAATCCATTTGGGTATCAAATCCGTCTAGAGATCCTACAAATTAAGCTAATTATATTTTGCTATCAATATGTGTGGTGACTCAAGAAATCACAAAACCATCAACGAAGGGAATAATTTGATTATTTTTTATTTTTCTTCTTGTTTAACTTGTTATAATATTGATAGTTATGATACAACTTCTACATCCACAATTCCTGGTTCTCCTTGTATCGTGTTCCAGCTAGCTACAATAATAAACATGTAAAACATTTTTCAAATTCATATTCTTTAACACAACTTTATATTATTAATTCCACTATAAAATGCAACTAAATAACAATTCTACGAATAAAAATCTATTTTTGTTACTAATCTGTATCCATTCTGTAACAATCCATACAAAATTAGAAGGTGATGTCAAAAAAGAAACAAAGAATGAGCTTTCAAATGGTTCAGTTTTTATAAACATAGGCTAGATACTATCTCAAATCTAAATTATTCAATATAATAACTAACATACGAAAAAAAAAATTCACTCGATATATGCTTAAAGAATCTATCTGTATAATTCTTAAATACTATGTACATGTTAATATTAAAAAAAAAACTTTATTCTTAAATAATTTCACATGATATATCCTTTTTCTTTACAGAAAAACTCCAACAATACATCTACAACCAATATATCACTTCATTTGTTTTACAACTCAATACAAATTTTTCAAAATTTAAAAAATAAATGTGAAAGAATGGGATTTCACATGGTATGTGATTAACCATTTACATGCCTGATTCTTAGGTAGTGTTTGTTTTTTGTCTGCAGATCTGCGTGGCCTCTTCTGTCTGCGCCGTGCAGACCACGCGCAGACATTAGCTTTCGCAGACTGTTTGTTTTTTTGAAGACTGCAGACCTAAAAATGTCTTCGCGCCCTCTTCTTGGCGCAGATGTGGATCAGAGTCTTCTAACATCTTCAGACATCTTCTAGCCTAAAAAAACATATATATCTTCATTTTTTAAGTTTTTTTTAATTTATATTTTTTCCAACTTTATTAATGATAAACAATTTGAAAAAACAAAATTACAAAACTTAAAAAAAAACGTTCGACGATACAAACATGATATTTTTGACAAATTTATAAATAAAGATTTATTACAATAATAGTTGTTGAAGTTGTTTATATAAATATGAAAAAAAAATCATAATATATTCTTATATTTTTTTGCCAAATTTTGTAAAACATTATTTAATACAATATCGTCAATTTCTCGAGAAAAAATATTTATGGTACATTTTTAATAGATTTAATTGAAAAAATCGAAGTTTATTTCCATCCATTTATGTATCAAATTCTTTGATCACTAATTATAATGTTTAGTTATAACTTTGCAACCAAAGTTGTTGGTTTTTATCAAATATATACGTTAATTCATACAATTTTTATTTTTTATACAATAATACATAAAAGTTGACTAGATTCGTTAATTATTTATAACAAAGTCATAAAAATATTAAAAAATCACTTTGAAGTTTAAAAAAACCAGTTTATTGAGATTTCAGTTTATTTTAGTAGCCCGCAGATGTTAAAAAAACAAACAGTCTTCTTTTTTCAGACTGCAGACGTTTGGTCCACCTCTTCTACTACAGATGTGGTCCGCAGACTGCATACATTTTGCCTCAGAAAAAACAAACAGCACCTTAAACAATATATACAATTTAATCTTAAACATTAATCACAACAACCTTATTCTTAAAGAATTTTGCTAGGCTTAGTTGACTATTTTTTTTAATTTGTCAGATGTGTTAAGCAAACACATAGGAAAAGAAAATCCACAACGCATCACCAACAAACATACAACTTCGGTTATTTTACAATACAATACAAACTTACTAAAAATTTAAGCAATACTATTAAAGAATGACATTTTACGTAGTATGTGTTTTGAAGAATATATCCACCTAATTCTTATAGAATCGAAAACATTCTTAAAGAATATGCCAAGTTCAATTGCTTCTGACGACTTTATTCTTAACGAATAAAGCCGTTCAAATTCTCCACACTTCATGTTTTAAAAATCAAGATTATGAAAGAATGGGATCCTATCCTTGAAGTTTATTCAATAAAATTAACTTTCAATTGAAAATAACGAAAACCCTAGTCGATTACATGAGTCATAATTGCATTATTCAAAAATAAGAGAAAAATAAACCTTGAGGAGAATCAAGAAATCATCATCGTTCGGTGTTACGATGAATCTGCAATGTTGTTGAACTTCGATTTAAAGTTGTCTCGTATAGAACTCAATCTATGGATTTTCATTCTTTATTATACACCAACGATTTATTGATTTTAGTCGTCGGAAGAGTGCACCAATTTTGGAGTGTGACAATTTCTATTCAAATCCTCAAATATAATTCTAGATGATTCTTAGAAATAGTTGTAGAATGATGTTGGATTATGATATTTTAGTTCTGACAATATTGATAGGGAAAATATAATCACGTATCCCTCATAAGTAGCCTTTTCCTTATTTGAATATAAGGGAAATTTCAAGAATGCATCATTTATGGTTTTACGTGTAAAATAATTAAAGATTTTATTATATATTACAATAATGCCATAACCATTTTAGCCATCAGATTTTCTAATCCAACGGTTCTTATTAAGTCATACAATCACACGATAATTACGATTCACATTTAATCCTAACCCTATATATATATATATATATATATATATATATATATATATAAGCATTTAGCATGTTTTGTTGAATTTTAACAGGTACAAGGCTTATTGCAATATTTACAATCAGTTTATGCATATAATCTTATTTGGTCGATAACTGAAAAGTCAAGAGAAGAAACAGGCCTCCAGCTCATTCAACAGATATTCCACCTATTTTTGCTAAAACTACTCGATGCAAGACTCATTCAAAATGGATTGACTAATTCAAATTGTCTTCCCCTTTCCCCCAATCAAATGCACCATGACACCATCATTCATCTCTATTTAATCATCATCAATGGCTAATTTTTTTTTGCCTTCGACCAACCGTCACCACCATTCTATCATCGTCTACAAGAGAAACCCTAATCAAATTCTATTTTAGCCACTCTAAAAATCTTGTCGGTTCCACCACCACCCATCTCTCCTTCTCTATAACCCTAATTAGCCGTCAGGCACACCAGCTTCACAGTCTCACAACATATTTGGGGCACACACCTTGAACCACTCAAGAGTAAAGACAATCACACCATCGCTTAGACCCACTTGAAACCTACCCTCTATCTCTCTCTGTCATTCTCTCTCTCTCTCTCTTTCTCTCTCTCTCTCTCTCTTTTCTAGTCGTCAATACCATATATCGATCCACTCATCACTGACCATCTCTCTGAAAGAATGACGACATAGTTGATGGGGATAATATTGGGTTCCGATTTTTATATTTGCTTAATGTTGTTAACCTGCATCAAATCGGACGACTTCTTACCTGTACAGTCGACCCAATATCAGTCGGCCTAAACGCCTCCGCCTTTCGCTTCTCTCTTTTAGAAATCCTAATCTCAAAAATCACAACCCACCAACACGAAACTATGCCGTCACATAAGCTTCACCGCCATCCAAAAAGCCACGTTCATCACCGTCACTCTTCATCACACCACCGTTCACCACCGTTATATTTTCCTAACATCCAAACAGCCAACGACGTGCTCATGTTCTCTCATTATTTGACATGATTTCAATTTTCGAATCTATAACCTCAGGTACCATTTTTGACCAAGATTTCTATGGTGTTTTGGGTATAATAGGTCGAAAGCATCATCATTTACCTTGATTTCGCTCAGAATATGGTGCGAATTCGAATATCTAACATTATGTATCATTTTTTCACCTATATTTCTATGGGTTTTGGGTTATAAAAGGTCAAATTCCTCACCATACGTTGATGGAAAAATCTATATCGAGAACTTGGGTTGCATTCTACGATGTTTGATAAAGCCCTATTTCTACGATGTTTGATAAAGCCCTATTTCTAGAAAGCTAGGGTTTGATTCAGAATTCCTTTCTCCCTTGAGGATCTCTCTCTCTCTCTCTCTCTCTCTCTCCAGAATCCCTTTCGATAACTGTGTTTGTGATTACATGTTCCTGAAAGCAAAAACCTTTTTATTGTATTTTTTACTGTTTTTTGTATTGGGTTTGTTTGGTTACATCTTACATGTATGATGAAGGTTATAACTCTCTCTCACTCACTCACTTTTTTGCTTTTTCTCTCTCGATCATATGAAAAAGTTTGTGTTTTTTGTTGATTCTGTTTTATTCTTAGTTTATGAAGACACAGGGGAAGGCGAGTCAAAGGAAGTGAAATCCATTTCATCAGATTTGGTTTGAAAGACATAAGGGGTATACATGTTTTTCCTTTCTCAATCAATATCCTTCAGATTACTTAGGGAGTTTTCATCTCTCTTTGTCTTCTTCCTCATCCCTATAACTAATCATTCACCTTTTGTTTAAAAATATAATTTTAACAAACCCTCCAATCCATGTTGATCAGTGATGTATGTTTGTTTTTTATTTCTTTTTATTTGCTTTTATCTTATGGATTATTTAACCTTTTCATTTTATGATGTGAGATTATGATTGAACTACAAGAATTTGTAGATAATATAGTATAACCTAAGGGTAGTTCTTACTTTTGCTGATAAACTGTTTATCCTAAATGTTTGTGTTAATTGTGTGTGTGACTCTATGTGCATATATGTATATTGCTATGAAAATGCAGAAAAATCCGAAATTAAGCGACTCAAGGAGGATTCTGAGTTGATGATGAAGGAATATGGACCGACCTTAGATGGCTCTTACATAAATGGTTAGTTTTTATACACCTAATAGTTTAAGTATTAAATACTTACATTGATTGGTTCAAAGGAATAAATTACTTCTATTACTACTTAGCTAGCTGGTTTAAATTGGTTCAAATTTTTTTTTTCATATCATAGCATTCTACTTTATTAAATCTATCAAACATATCTTTGATAAACAAATCTATGCTTTCCTGTCATTTGTTTGAATATATGGATTTGGATGTGAATGGAATTTTTTTGCCTACTACAACAGCAATGAACAAAGACTATCGACATCAACAAGTTTTTTATGCTTGATTTTTAACTGTTTTTGGACAGATTTGCCCTTGACGTTGGAGAGTATGCTGATGGTCAAGTTCTGCATGCACGGTAGAAGAATTAGTGAAATTTGATGGAAATAGAGGAGTTGAAAGTTTTCTAAAAAAAGAATAATTAAAACATTGATACATGCTTTGTGAAAGAATGTACTTTTATGACCTGCAAAAATGTTTGTTTTGAGAATTCTTAAACTTGGATTTATTAAACATTTACATATTTCTACTTCTTTGGTGTTGGGCTATTGCAGGATAGGTGATCTCAAAGAGGCATTCCAAGTGTTTGATATAATGTCAACAAGAGATCGTTGTCATGATACTGGTTCAATGTTTTCAACCATAAAAATGGAAGTTTTTAATCAAATGTTATGGCAAGGGTGTTTGGCATATGGTAGAGGCATGCACATGTATATATGGCAGGTAAACTAACAATCTTTTTTTGGCCATGAGTTGTTCTTCTTTCATTTTATGTCATTATTTACCATTGGTGATATTGCTTGTATTTTTGTAGTAGATAATGCACTAGAGAGTATTGATTAGATTTTGTTGTGGATTTTAACTGTGTAAACATATGAAGATGATACAAAACATGGCTTTTGAGAGTGTATTCCTACTATATAATGAATATTCTATTTCATCCAAGTTCCACTTGAACACCATTTTGCAATTCCAACTAATAAAGTTTATTGCCTATTAAAATATAATTTTTTTGTTATGTGGCTTGTTAATCGTGCCTATAGAATATGTTTGATTAATAACTTCAACAAGTGTAGCACAGTAAATTTCCAATCTCTTCAAAATAATCAATTGGGATCTTATAAAAATGACTAAAGAACAATTGTTTCGCGAGAAGGTTTTTGCCAAATTACTTGAACATTCAATCGGATTTTGAATACTTTTATAAAATCAAATTTGAAAAATTACTTTTACGAAAGGACCGTGACTTATCGAAATTATTGTAACTAAGCGAAATTAGTAGATTTGCGGAATTATATTTTCGAAATTATTTTTGTGTAATGGATCTTTTTAGTATGTTCTACTAATTTAATAATGTTAAACTTATAAATATCATTTTCTTTCGTTTACTGCTCTTCATATATTATTGTATTATATTGTATTGTTTTTGAATTATATCTGTTTATGAGAATTTTAATAGGGTATACTAAATAAAAATAAAAATAATCTATCTAGGAAAATTACAACTACTATCCAAATATAAATTAAATTATTATAATAATATTAACATTTTAGTGCAAAAAAGCAAAACAACAATTATGTGAAAAAAAAGTTGTTATAGAAAAAAAAACATATAATATGATATCTTACGAACAAAGAAATGAGAAAATAAGACGAATAGCTAATAGAGAAGTAAGCGGTCAAAATATGACACATAGGACAAATGTGTCTATAGGTGAGGTCTCTAACGAATATTACAAATGCAACTCTTAAAAGTGTATTAGATTTTGCCAAATATTCGTCTATGTCCGTGTGAAGATAACATATTCTCATTCATGTTATAGAGAAAACAATTTCCAATTCGATACGTTTTGCGACGACAATCAATAAAGCTGAGGAACAAACAATTCCAAATGTAGGTATTTTTTTCCGGTTTTATCGCATGACCAAATTTATGTGACATTATCTAGAGGGATATCGCGTGCCAATACAAAGTCTTAGTGAAGCGTGATGAACAATTCAACAACAGTGAAATCTATACATCAAATGTGGTGTACAAAAAAATGTTGCACGATTAATAATGCACAATCAATCAAGTGTAAGTGTACATTTATAAAAATTCCGAACTTTTTATTTTTAATTCTTATTGATTTCGTTTATGCTAACATAACTCTTATTGATAATTGTTTAGATGTAGTAAACTATTTGCGCAAAAAAAATCGACTGTAGAACCTAATTTATGAAAAAAAAACTATTCGCACCCGTTGCTTGGCGCGGGTAAACGGCTAGTATATATATAGGCTTAGGTTATTTTGTTTTTACTAACTATTGTGTGCCAGAATGCACAGATCTGGACTAACGGACGGAATTAATCAATGGACATGATTTGAGAGTGTATGTGTGACATCCCCATTTTTACGGCCAGAAAAGACCGGTTTTGTTTATGCTTTATAAAAATCAGAGTACCTCTTTTAATAAAAATGTTGCGGAATTTGTTCCCAGAAAAACATGATAAATACGTTATCAAAGCATTTCCGAATAAATGTATTTTTATTCATTTTAAAACATTTTGGGATGTCATCGTCAATATACAAAAACATAAGCATAAACAGAACTTACATTCATTATCACTAGTGATTTATATCTCATTAATCTCTCAGTATAATATAACTTCATATCGACACCTGTTATACAAATAAACTTGACTGGGTCAGGTTGGGAAACCTGGTGAGTACATAGGAATTTCAATCCCACAATGTTATATCATATATATAACTTAGATCTCACAAAATATACAATTTCCCCATATATATAAGCGAATCTTACCCCACCCTGTCAATCCTCACAACGAGACTATCCATACTCCCGAAACTTAAATTTTACCTCTTACTCCCAGATCTAATCCATGCTCTCGGATCAATATTTGTGCCCATTCCATACTCTCGGATTAGGGACAAATTTCCATGTCTAAATCCATACTCCCGGATTAATGACGAATAACTATGTCATGTCCATACTCCCGGACTAAGGACAATTGACTATGTCTTAATCCATACTCCCGGGTTGATAACAATTGACTAAGTCCAATCCATACTCTCGGACTAGGGACGAATAACTATGTCTAATCCATGCTACCGGATTAATGACATAGTTAAGGGTTCAATTCTCCGTGTATATCTCACTTGTACTCATAGGGAAATACTACCCGATATTCCTCATAATTAATTTAGGTTTACTCTTTATCCTAAATCATCATATATTATCAGGTATGTTCTTTAATACGTATTTCAGGCAACATCAAATAATTTGCACATGAACATATATTTAATACTTCAATCAATACTTGTATTAAAATCATGTTCATGAATGAGACTATGCAATCACTTGTTAAAAGTGATGATTCCAAAATCGGGCAGCGCTTCGCTTCTAACGATTCTATTTTCCTTCGACGAAACCTAGCATTATTATCGCTAAGTTTTAGTCTAATCTTTATTGCGACTAATTATTAGTCTAGATTCATCATTAACTCAAAGTCTACTTGATGATCTATCAAGTAAGGATCAGCCAGGCAGGACAGTTGGGAGGCAGGACCATTTCGGCATATAGCTTTTCTGAAATCCAACAACCAAACCCAACGTGACCATTCTAGACACCTCTCCCGTAAGTAGTTCAATTAGTATAATGACTTTGAATCACTGATAAATCTTATTTATAGGTTCATAATAACGATATTATATTTATATATAAGCTATATTTAAAGTATGGTAGGCATATCTCACTTACAACGCGTTTTTTATTAAAAACCGGCCTTCGCTGGAGCAGCGCTTCCGAGCCGAAAAGCTCTTTTTCTCGGAGCCTTCGGGAGCTCTGGGCTTCCTTCGGGTGCTAGGGGTACCCTAGGCTTTGGGGGGTGTTTGGGAGGCTAGAGAGAGAGTAGAGAGAAAGAGAGGGCTAAAGGTGTGATTTTTGGAGGCAACCCTCGCACCCTTTTATAGGCCGAGAGGCCTCGCATACGTTGGGCGTAGCTCCTCGGGTACGCGGCGCGTAAGGGCACCTGTCACACTGTAACATCCCAAAATTCAAGGCCAAAAATTTCATTTTTAAATAAGTTATTACATAAAAACATCAGTATAAAAACATTCGTAATAATATCTCGTGTCAAACCAAAGTGTCAGTAATCAAAACATATTATCATAAAATAATATCAGAGTGTAATCCCAAAGATCTTATGTGCGGAAAACATAGTGTGATGCGTTGCGATCAAGCCGACTCCTTTCCTTTGAAAACGAGTACCTGAAACCAAAACTGTAAACCGTAAGCACAAAGCTTAGTGAGTTCCCCCATCATACCACATACCATACAAACACATATAACATACATACTGCCAGGCATATCTGGGTGCCCGACCTACCCCTTCGGCCCTCTCGACCGGTGACCTTGCCTAGCATATCTGGGTGCTGGCCTACCCCTTTGGTCCTCTCGACCGGTGACTGCCTAACATATCTGGGTGCTGGCCTACCCCTTCGGTCCTCTCGACCGGTGACTGAGGACTAGTTCACCCCTACCACTACCACATAAAACCCTAACATATAAACATAAATCACATACTGCCTAGCATATCTGGGTGCTGACCTACCCCTTCGGTCATGTCGACCGGTAACCGGGGACTATTTCACCCCCTACTACTACCACATAATATCATATAACATATATCATAATCTGGCTAGCACGGCTGGGTACTAAACTACCCCTTCGGTCCTATCGACCGGTAACCGGGGACTATTTCACCCCCTACTACCACTATCACATAACATCATAACATGCTAGCACATAAAACATAACAGGTAGCAGAAAACCTAGATGAATATCACAAAGACAATCATCTAACATATAACTCCTACTAATGGGCCGGCATTGTGGCAGTAGACCCACCGCTACTGGAAGGTAACTCACCTCACACTGCTGAAGTCCCATAGACACAATCCCACACTGCTGAAGTCCCGCAGTGTCACACCCCAAAACCGGAACGACGGAAACGTTCGGGGGCGGAGGACGTCATGTATAGTATCATAACAATGCAAAGTAGTAAACAAGCAACAACATCATCCATTGCATTAATAGTATAATTTAATACAATTGTGTTCTTTGAAAGTAGTAAGACACCAAAATGAATAATCAAAATAAAAGACGAGTCTTGAACATGCTCCGTCTTCTCAAAACCTGGTCGACTGTACCTGTCTACTGATGACCTGAGAATATAAGTTATTTTGAAAGCGTAGATCAGCATTAAAGCTGGTTAGTTCATAAGTATTTAGTGTCAATGTTTGTATAAGTTTACTGAAAATGTTTGTAAATATTAAATGTAAATGTTTGTATATGTTTGAAAACTCCTAGAAAATCCTATATTTTCTACTAGTATAAAAAGTAGTCTTCTACCAAGACCCGACTGTTTTGTATGTTTGTTTCTCTGTAAAAGTGGATGCTTTTCCCAAATATGACTATCATTACCAAAATATAGTTTTATATTACCCTTTATGTGAGAAGATCACAATTTGAATATAATGGGAAACTGTATATGTACTGCAGTATTACATGTAGTAACTACTGTAGTAATAACTACCTTAAACCAAATGGCTTATATAAGGTAAAATGTGATGAGGTTGTTACCATACTAAACCGACTATAACACAACGATGAAAGACGTCGGAAGAAATGACATTTGGCACCCGTAGACTTGCAAGTCCGACTGTAGCGAACAGCTAGGTGTAGGATAGTCAATCCAGTATAGATCTATACACAAACTCACGCTCTCCCTCCAGGAGATTCTGGTTACAAAACGTGACACAACGA